GGGAGATGGGCGGCATACAAGCCAAATAAATAAATAAATAAATAAATAAATAAATAAATAAGAAGCCATCTTTCTCAGTCCCACTCTTGTGGCAAGGATGTTCCTCAACCATTCCTAATTAAACTGGAAGGAGTTACTGGGATGCACATGGCTCAGTGCTGGGTCTTCTACTCTTCAACATCTTTAGCAGGAGTCTGAAGCTCACAACACATGTAAAAAAGGGGCAGAGCTTCTATCACACAGTCCCAGCTGCCATCTTGATTTTTTGTATACCTTTCCTCCCCTCCCTCCTAGGGACATCCCTGTGAGACAGCATCTGTTTAACCTATACAGGTAGTCCTTGCTTAACAACCACAATAAAGACTGAAAAATCCATTGTTAAGTGGGACAGTTGTTAAGCAAGTTGCGCCCAATTTTACAACCTTTTTTGCAGCAGTCGTTAAATGAATCACCATGGTTGTTAAGCAAATCATGCAGTTGTTAAGCAAATCACATGGTTCCCCACTGATTTTGCTTGCCGGAAGCCGGCTGGAAAAGTCGCAAATGGTGATCACATGGCCCTGGACTCTGCAACCGTTGTAAGTGTAAGCTGGTTGCCAAGCGCCTGGATCATGATTATGTGATTGTGGGTGTGCTGGGACAGTTGTAAGTGTAGGGACTAGTTGTAAGTCCCTTTATTCAGCACTGCTGCAACTTCGAACAGTCACTAAGCAAATGGTCATTAAGTGAGGACTACCCATATGTATATTTGCCATTCTATCTACAAAGCAAGGAATGTTGGGTTTGCAGTTCCCTTCAGCTCTCTTTTCATCTGTCATCACTTCTCCCTTGGCTTCCCCAGTGCAAATCTTGACTTACCATTTCTGCCTGTTCCTTTAGCACCAGCATTTGAGCACCCCTGGCTCTGCAATCTTCCTGGCTTTTGTTCCAGGTTCCGGCTTCTTTCGAAATCCAGTAACATTTGCCATCGTGGTAAGACCAGTTTCCAGGACACAGGTGGCATCTGAAACTCTCTGAAGACCAAACAAAAAAGATGAATTTTAAGGCTTTAAAGCTGCACAATGGTCACTCATGCATTTGCTATCACCGGGAGGTACTGGCAGCAATTATAGATTGAAATATGTAGAGCTGCACTTTCAAGTACTGAATCTGAATGAGAACTAAAACCAGGGACATCTGAGGAGGGGTGCAAAAAAGTCAAATGGCAGCTGTGTCAATGTATTCAAAGCCCCACCCCATCAAGATCAAACTAGATATAACAGGAAGACCTTTTGGGGGCCTGTCTTTGAAAGCCTCCTCCAGGATGGCTTAATGCATGTTGATTTTTCTTTTTGTCCAGAGTTCAGAGGAGGAATCTTGATTCATTATTTGTTATATTTTGAATTATTATTATTATTATTATTATTACTACTACTACTACTACTATTATTCTTTCTAATACGTTATATAAACCTAAGAAGTGATGATATGTGATGATACCAAAATTTAATGAACCCAGATTAGCAAAGCTGTCATTTGTATTTTGGGTTTGTTAACATTTAGAATTTTTTTAAAAAAATTTATAATAGCACTCTATTTATTTGCCATGAAGTCTAAAACATCAGTTGCCAAATGGGTATTATCAGACGCTTGTCTATTTTATAAATCCAGACAGATAGGTGAATTATCAGCAGTATTTCTTTCTGTAGCCTCCTGGCTCAGGTTGCCATTAATACTTTAGCATCCGTGTTAAGCAAAGTTACTGGTCTACAACTTGCATATTTGGTGGGGTCTTTCTTAGGCTTTAATATTACTGTAATATAGGCCTTATAAAATGATGGAGGGAATATAAAAAGATTAAGTATTGATTGTAAACCTCTAACAATATAGAGGCTGATATATCTATAAAAGGTCTATACCATTCAATTGGAAATCCATCATGCCCAGGGTCTTCCCCTAGTTTTATAGAGTAGATTGTATTGTCTTTATAGCAGTAATGGATCTATAAAAAAATTCCTTGAATGCCTCCCAGAGGATTAACTCAGTGGTAGAGTCTTTATTTATTTAAAGAGCAAATGTCCTTCTTGATATATTCCACAAAATAAGGATTGTTTATTAGAAAAGTTATCAGATATCGTATAACTTATAATGTTTAAATCTGAGAGCAACTGGAACATGGTCCAAGATTACAATGAAACTGCGGAGTCCGCAACTGAACCTAACGAAGCAGGAGAAATCAAAGGATAACCTAATTTAAAACAATTTTCAAGTGCCTGGGGAAAAAGAGGTATATTTGCTACATTTTAGATTTTAAAAATGCCAAATTGTTCATTTAAATTCCAATATGTTTGCTTGTAATACATCCATTTTGAGAAAAGTAACAGGTTTTTTTTAAAAAAAAAATTCTATCTAGCTGAAAATCTTGGATTAAGTTTTTTTTTCCAATACTTTATTTTAAATACACATACGCACACAGGCAAATACATTACAGCAGAGTGAAACAGCTTGGTAGCTATATCTACCCTTTAACATGTGGACAAGCATGCTATTTCTAATAATTATAGCAGAGAAATGCTGAAAGATGGAGATTGGGGAAATGATCATTTTGATTATGAATCTAAAACGCATAAAAAGCCTCAAGCTAATAGAGAACATCAGAACACTGTTGTATAAAATAGGTCCAGCAGAAATTAAATTCAGGATCAATTATTATTAAATTACTGTGGAACCACATGCAATTCGGGGGTCAAAAGCCTCTGGTAAAACCATCACAGCCATTGGTCACAAAACTAAAACCATCACAGCCATTGGTCACAAAACCCAACTTGGTACACATCATATTTAGGACTAAATTTGGTGTGAAACACCAAAAGCGGGAGAAAGAAGCCTACCTCGTACCATGTATAGCAGGGTTCCTCAACCTTGGCAACTTTAAGACGGGTGGACTTCAACTCCCAGAATTCCCCAGCCAGCTGGGGAATTCTGGCAGTTGAAGTCCACCCGTCTTAAAGTTGCCAAGGTTAAGGAACCCTGATGTGTAGGGCCAGGGTTTTTAATTCAACAAACACTTTTCAGGGTGTTGACCCTACTTTTTGAATGAACAAGATAAATGGATCATTTTACTCATGAGTCAACAAGATAATTGGAGAAAGAAAATGGGTAACTTAAATCCTGGGAAAAGCATCACTGGAGATCCTGACCTCACGCTAGATCAGGATGTATGATCTTGGAGACTAAACAATTCCCAAATCAGTCTTTGATCTGAACTAGAAGCTAAAAATGAACTGAGGCCCCAAACTTAAAAAGGAACAACTAATGCTGGTGCCTAAAAACGTTCCTAGAACACAAAATGAAGTATGGACACAATTTCAAAAGGAGAATTAATAGCTTTCAGGATGGCTCAAAACGGATAACAACAAAAGAATCAGCTGTATGTTCTGGAACTAAGGAGGGAAATAAGAAGAAATGTTAAACCTTGAACAACAAAGATATTGGGGTAATCTCAGTGGAAAAATATAAGGCACCACTACATTTCCAGTTTGAGCTCTCAGATAATCCTGCTCCCAGCCTTGCGGTTCATCATCCGAATACCCTTATTCTTCTCTTTCACCCACTATTACTGAATAGACTTGGCTGGTTACCCTCTAACAAAGTTAGTGATTATCGCTGTTTGCTGAAATGCCATTTAGAACGAATGGGGCGAAAGTCATCAGCCACTGTTGCAATGTGCCCAAAAGGTAAAAATATGTTTCCTGGGGGGAAAAAAACCGACGTCGTAGAAATGATGGATCTCTACTTCTGGATTTCCACCCTGCAAGGTTTCAGGAAATGGAGGATAGAAAAGTAATGTTAGTTGAATGTCATTCGGTTTGGGCAGGCAAAAGTATTGCTGTAGAGCAGGGTTTCTCAGCGAGGGTTCCGCGGAAGATCACTAGGGGTTCCCTGGGAGATCGTGGTTTATTTTAAAAAAGCAGAGACCGAAGGAAACCCCCCCAACCTCCAACATTGGGTTGGCCTGGTGGAACGTGCACGACCTCAGACGGAAGCAGGGATTGCGCACACCTGTGCAGCTAGAGAAGCGAGGAGTGAGCCGAGCCGAGCGGAGCAGCAGGTGCCAAGAGAGGGGGAGGAACGTCACCGGGGCTCCGTGCCGGGCTCGGCTTGCCAGCACAGGCCTGGCTTTCTGCAGGTGCAATTTCTGCCTTTCTGCAGGTGCCTGCCTGCCTTTCTGCTCAGGGAGCTCTGTCTCAGGGTGGATGCAGGAGATCCGGGGCTGGGCTGGCTCAGGCGCTAGCAGCAGGAGGAATCAAGCACAAATATGCGAGGGGGGGGGAGTGGGGGGGAGGCTTTGGCATCAGGGTGCCAAGAGTCCAGGAGAGGTTGAGGAGTCCAAATATGAAGGGGAGGGATGTTGCAGGTTGCAAGGTGTGAGCCCCCTTCTAGTTTTGCAAAGGGGTCCTTGGGGGAGGAGGTGGAAGGGGGG